AGGCTCCGCCACCATGAGCCCCTGGGTCTGCCTCTGCTGCGATGTCCTGGTGGATTCTAATCCAGCGCTTGCTTTCAGATTCCGTTTCCGCCCCGTCGAAGTGTGTGGTCGACCCACCTCCACTTTCGCTCTCGAATTTATGTTGCTATCGGCTTCGAGGATGGAGCTCGGCATTCGAGATCCAGGTGTGAGGCCACCAGGCATGAATTATATACCGCAGACTTCGGTTGATGAAGACCTGCAGCTTTTGAGTGTTCTCCGCTGATACACACCACGTCTCGCATGCCTTTAACAACACAGATTTCACGTTCGTCATACGTTTCGTAAACTCGCAAAGACAGCCCAAGCCTTCTTGATTCGTGCACCTATGTCGCTCTTGATTCCGCCGTCCGACGCTATTTGGCTGCCAAGATATTGGAAACTTTCGACCTTCTCCACTGTTTGCCCCGCTACCGTAAAGTTGGAAGGGTTGCCCGTGTTGATATCCAACGATTTGGTCTTGTTGACGTTTATGGTGAGACTTGCCGCAGAGAAGCGTTCGCCTAGGTCATTGCGCTTACTCTGCATATCAAAGCGCTATTGTGCTGGTCAGTTGCACCCGTCGATTACGATGAGTAGCGGTGATAGTATACATTAGAGTAATGCAAAATTTGAAATTTTTGCTCCACAATACTTCAACGATTCCAAATCGGATCCTGACTAACCTCTCAAAATTTGAACCCATTTGGTGATAAACTGAGATGAAACAAGCCATTTGAAGTTTGTATGGGAATTACTATGGTAAAACCAAGATTTTTGTTCATGTCTATCTAATAATTCACCATATCGGTCTGCTTCAAAAGATTTCAACTGTACTTGTAGGAAATTTTCCCAGCTACAACTTTGCTGAAGACCACTTTTTGATTAAATGCAATGCGAAAGTTATCAATGGTTCAATGCGCTGATGTCTTATGATCATACTCAATCAACTGCTCAGCACCCAAGTAACATTGCAAGTTTTATCGCGATTTTAAAGCATGCTAGAAGTCTAAATCATAGTCTGCAGAACCCTTATAAAACCCCAATTGCTACTTGGGCAGGCAGCATTGATGTTTCTGGGGCGTTGAATAGGACACAAAAATCATGGCTACTATGTCACACTGCAAAATACAGTTTTGCCTACAGAGCAGCTGCTTGATCATGTCATAAGTTTACCAATCTTTAAACAATTAATAACTTTTTCCTGTCTCATTTTACATAAAAACAATCTTCAGCAAAGTTGTAGCTGAGAAAGTTTTCTATAATAATGGCTATCGAACTGTTTCGCAGCTCAATATGGAAAAAAGCTAGAAGGCAATGAACAAAAAGTTGAGATTTCCCATAGTAATTTACATGTAAACTTCAAATGGCTTGTGCGAAGTCTATTTCTAACCAAATGAGTCGTAGCTTTGGGAGGCTAATCATGACCCGATTTGAAACCATTTAAGTACTGTGGAGCGAAAAAGTCAAATTTTGCATCAGTCTAGTATACATCCTTGTCTCACACAAGCGACTACCCGGATAGGGTCAGACAAGGCTCCGTTTTGCAGAACTCTGCACGTGTAAGCCTGCTACTGCGCTTCGATGAGGTTGACGATTTTATCCGGGACTCCCTTGCATCTCAGGGCGCCCCACATATTCTCGTCATTGATTCGGTCGAATGCTTTTTCGTATTCAATGGATACCAAATAAAGGGACTCTTGGAATTCATTGACCTGCTCCAGGATTATGCGGAGCGTGACAATATGGTCCACACAAGATCTTCCGACACAGAATCCTGCCTGCTGCCCCCAGAGAGTCGCGTTGATCTTCTCCTGTATCCGATTCAGGATAACTTTGCACAGAACTTTGAGAACAGTAACATGATGCTTCGCCAGTTGTCGCACACACTCAGATCCCCCTTCTCTGGGACCTTCACTAAGACGCCCTGAATCCAGTCGGCCGGAAAAGTCGCGGTGTCCCAGATATGACAGAATAGTTGATGCAACATTTGAGCGGATAGCATGGAGTCAGCTTTGAGCATCTCTGCTGCTATTTTGGATTTATGGGAATAAGTAGAAATAACTCATCAACAAATAACTAGCCGTTTTAGTCAAAATTCGGTGCTGCCTATGTGTTTGTGCAACGTCATCTACACGTACAACTACCCTACCCACTGTAGCTACTATACAAAGAAATATAGAAAACAATATAGTATCTCGAATACCTCCGCCATGGTAGGACGGTCAAGCAAACAGTGTGTTTTATTTATTTTCATCTCCGTACCTATTACAACGATCATAAACACAACGTAGGGCTCCCGCCCGTGCGCGATCACTATGTTACTCAATTAAGAGTAGATCTGGTTTTAATTAAATTGAGTGGGTATTCACTCAATTTTTAGTAGCCACGAACGAGCGTGCACACAAGTGCATTAGATGGTATTGAAATTATTCAACATGTCCAAGATGCATTTTACCGAAAAGATGTTACGGAATTTTCATTGGCGGGACATTAATTTATTCGGCGGCGTGAACCATTTTTCAATTTCATAGGCGGTGGCGGCATATGAAAATCGTCTGCACAGGTCTAATAATTATTATACAAAAAATGCTCATGCTCATAGTAGGTCATACAAGTGTATCCGCGGTATATGCAACCGGTGGAAACTAACGATTTTAAATTGGCTCACTACTTGATTAGCCTATTGGTCCCAAGTAAATCTATAAGCGTACCCCATTCTAGTCGAAATTCTAGTACTACACTATGTTTGTTTTGATTCGCTATAAAAGTTTGACAGATAAAAAGAGGGGTTCGTGGATTTTGCTATGTTTTGAGGGGTGTATAACGTTGGGGGCAACCGAGGTGGATTTGTCATCGAGATAGTACACCGCTCGAGTGTTCATTACTGACTGTGTCCTTTATTCAAAGTTCTATTCCTTAAAAATAGTTCTCGACCAGAAGTGAACAGCAATGTCCAAGTCATCATAATAATAAGACAAAACTTAAACGTTGGCGAACCCTGAGAAAGGTCGCAAGGAAAGCATAATAATTTATTGCCTCTCACTCGGAGTGTGGCTAACAAACCATAACAACTTACTCGCGCACTCTCGGAAGGTCGTGCATAAATGGTGACGAATAATAATGTTTACTACCCGTATGCAATGAAGGTCGCACACGAAGCAAACCTAAAAGTTGCCTGAGCTGGCGAATGTATGTTCTTGAGAAACATACACATCTGCTCAGCACATTGAGGAATTTGAAGGAAAGTTTATTGTCGACTTCAAACCGTCCGAATGCAAATGGTATTGAATAGCAAGGATGCTACAGGTGCATCGATTAGCTTGGGACCGAAGATAGTACCAGAGCTAAGCCAAAAAGTTTAGCACGTTTCTTCGGGACCTTCTGGTCTTAAAGTTACCTCTATGGTATATGGCTCAGTTTTAACATCGTCAACGTTTTTATACAAGGGCTGGGTTTTTTTTTATTAATAAGGCTAGTTTTTGTTTTTGATCGTAAAGATTTTTGTGTTGAACGATATACGGTACAACTTTATATTCCTGAAGAAAGTCAAGTCCAAAGACAGGAAGGTTCGACATAAAACATATTAGCGTTTTGATTCACAGTTAAAATGAATACTGAACTGAACTGAAGCCAATACATATATAAAACGGCGCGCTGATAGCAGACAAGTTTTACCCGAGAGGCAACTAAACTGTGTATACAGTCCGAAATTACGATTTAGAACACTACATAAGGGTAGTACTTTTGAAAAATCGGTGAATAACTAGCATTAAATTAACCATAGTTAAGTCTGACATCGACTTCTGCCGCTAAGTGGATATTGGAAAAACACTTTAACTCCACAATGAAAATTTGTATCGGGCTTTCCAAGAAAATGTCATATTTAAACTGTATGCATAATGAAAAGCCATACGGTCAGATACATAATTCCCACAAAATTAAAATGCGTAAAGTATTACAAGCACCAATTAGCTCGAATCAGATTTACCCATTGTCCAACAATGGGATTCGATTCATGAATCTCGTACCCAGAGCTGACTGTAAACGTATGTAGGTAGGTACTACCTCACTCGTATGTATTTTCAGCTGCTGCCATAGAGATTTATTTATTCTGCGAACGAAAGACGGGATAAAGCCGATCATTCCTCCAACTGTGTTCCACGTGTGTTTTTTTATTTATATTTTTTGTTGTGCCAATATCACCACGTTCAAAGCATTCACGAGCTCAAAGTGAACTTGTGAGTACCCTACTCGTGCGAATCCAGAAACTCGGTCTGTGTGGTGATTTTTTTTTTTGTATTTCGTTTTCCCCTGCCCCAACGGCGGTCAGAATCGACGCTGCCGACCGGAGATAAAGTATTCCAGGGAGGGTCATATTTCCTGCGCAAGCAGTGCCACACGAATGGAAAAAGTATATAAATAAATAAAAATTAAATGAATAATGTAATTTTATAATTTTTGCTCTGTGATACTGTACTGTGTCCTTTCGATTCAGAATGGGAATGTGAAATCGTTGTCCCCTGGCTGCCGGATGCTACAATGTGTTCCGTTGGCTGTGAAATTTATCTCGGGTATCGTTTTATTTGCGAGACACTTTTTCCGCGCAAAACTTTAGTCAATACGGCTCGGAATAGGATTTTCAAAGTAAAAATCGATCAGGCACGATTTCCATATGACCTTGTTTTTACTATTTTTCGTTATCTAACCCTGCACTGCCTATCCTCGTACTTTAGTGAACCAAATTTAAAGAGCTGGCTGATGAAAAAGGTACATAATTTATCTTTCATTTAGATACTTTTTAGAATAAACTGGCGATGAAATCATTTCAAAAACTATTTTCTTTTAGGATTGACGTTTATGCAGGAAATTAAATATGCCGTATGCAGCTCGCAGCATCCATCAGAGAGTAGCCTTAATTTAGCATGCTACCTTGTATATATTAAATTTGTTTTATGCTTTCCTTCCTTTTGAAATTGCAGTTCCACCAGATCGAGTTGTGATACAAGACCAGATGGGCATCGATCGAACGACGGTGGTTGGCCCCTATAGCGAAGGAGATATCGTAACGCTGCGGTGTGACGTCTATGGCGGTCGGCCATTGCCCACGGTCAGCTGGTTTCGGGATGGCTTTGCACTGGTGGCCGAATCCAAAAACATGCCATTGAACAATCACCTCCGCAGTGAGATTGTACTGGGGCCACTAAGCCGGCAAGACCTGCACTCGAAGCTCGTTTGTAAGGCTAGCAACCACGAACGGGCCATAGCAGTGGAGCAGTCCGTCCAGATCGATATGAACTGTAAGTTGAACTTGTACACAAGAAATTTTGTTCATCAAAATGTTAACCTGAATGATTCCTGCTCTCTCTCTCTCTGTGTCCCACCAGTTGCTCCCCTCAACATAAGACTGATTGGTGCTCACCAACCACTATCGGCCGGTCATCGGTACGACCTGCTGTGCCAAAGTGCAGGCTCCCGGCCTGCAGCTTCCATAACATGGTTCCTGGATGGGATTCGACTCGACAGAAGCAAAGAGACGGTAATGCTTTGAACTTCGAAATGAAACAACCGAACATATTTCTCATACCAGTTACTTTTTTTTTTTAATTCCCCAAAACCAGACATCTGCCGATGGTAATCAAACCACGAGTACGCTGTCGATTAGCCTCAACCGCACCGATGCGGGCAAGTATCTGTCCTGTAAAGCGTACAATTCCTTGGTGCCAACAACTGAGGAGCTGGAGGACGGATGGAAGCTGGACATACAATGTGAGTAGGATAACGTTGATTGAATGTAATGGTGCTTTTTTGCGGTAGATAATGAAAACGAAATATGGAAGTTAATTTTGATCCAGTGAACTGGCGAGGGTACACACAAAGAATGTACTGTATGTTGCTTATTTCGCAGGATATTATGCATTTAGATGAATATAATCTGTATGTCGCTGATGAATAGACTTTCGACGCGGCTGGTAACATAACAAAATAGCTGACGAAAATACCAACAATAATAACAACAATTGATCCTGGCCCTAGTCTGGGCTCCCAGACCTGATGCTAGCCAACCCCAGACAATTTAAGAAATAAAGTCGGGAGCATTAAATGTTTGCATTGCATGGAGGAATTGCGATATTTTTCCAGTTTATTTAAAATAAACTATGCTGCGACTTTGATTTATTGTCCATTCTCGGCTGATGATTGACAATTTTCTATAATTCACATAAAATCTCTTCATTCGTTTTGAAGATATAGCTTAATTTTGAAATTCTGTGATCTTCGAAATAATACTGATATTAGCTTTTCATATTTAAAGGCTTTCAAAAACATCCAGAGAATAAAACAGCACAAAAATGTTATCTTCCATTTAATTCCACTTAATTAATTTTGATATCCATGACAGATACGTGTTTCGACTACAATGTACATTCCGCTAACAACCCAAGTTCATTATTTCATTATGATGGCTACCAAGCCTTTGGGATTTTCCTTATTAGAGAGTTGAATAGATTTTTCTCCTTTAGTTTACTTAAATCTTTGATTGCTATTACACATTGTAATTTCATATTTTTACCTGTGATCTTGACTTTTATACCTAGGGGATGAGTTCTTAAGGGGGTTAGATTTTGATAAGTTCTTCAGTGGGAATGACACTGATGAAGACTGCACATGTAGTCGAAATACGTATCTGTCATGGATACCAAAATTAATTAAGTGGAATTAAATGGAAGATAACCTTTTATTGCTGTTTTATTTAAGCATTCCACTAACAACCTAATTTCATTACTTCATCCAGAGAACTTTATTGAACTCATATTGAAAATCTATGGATATCGACTATGTTCAATAATGCTTATACTAGGTTAGCAGTACTTCTACAAAGTTCCTTTAATTCAGTTCCAAGAACTTAAATAAAGCTCCCTGAACTTTTCCCTATGCGTTTAACTTATCCTCGAGCATCTATTAAGTACCTTAGATTTGTGGAAAGTTCTGCACATTGCTGGTTAGCTAAGTCCGCTTCACCGAAGTTGTGGGATTTGCTTATAGCTTAAGCAAACTACATCTAAATTTATACCAAGATTTCTGAACATGTATACAGTTCCCGGAAATGGTACCAAGATTTCAGAACATAATGTTGAATTTCTACAATATTCCCATTTACAAGACTCCCTGAATTCCACGAAATCCTCAAAAATCTAGCCCCTGATCTTCTACATAATTCTTTGCTCTTAAAAGAAGTTTTTCGATTTTTTTTCGATTTTCTATTTAATTCGCTCAACTTGTACAAAGAGCGTTGAACTGTAACCGTTCTGTTACAAAGGTCCAATACAATATTTTACATATGCACTATGTGATCAAGAAATTAAGTACAGTCAGGAATCCTTATTGCCGGGGTAACGGGGGCGTGAATAAGGAACCGCGAATAAGGATACCCACAGCTTATGAGAGTTTCACTAATGGGGGCTGTAGTGAATTAGCTCATTTGTTTCATTACATAAAGCTATACTGTCTTCGACAAAGTTGCTGTAGTGGATTAGACCAACAAGCCTCTGCCATTGGATTCAGGTTAAATTGGGAACTACGCCGCTAGAGGCGCTTCACTTTTATGTTACTTATGACTGCGCTATAATATATGGATCATATTTCCAACATAGAATATTTCGTGATCCTGGCCATATAGAAAGTTACTGTCTTCAGTAAAGTTGTTCAGGTGACCAAGTCCTTTTGTATGGTGGCCATATTAGTTCAGAACACGCTCACTACGCGGCGCTAGTGTGCACTTGAACTTCCTTAATATGTTATGTCTCCAAAGCTTGCCATATAAGATGTTGCTGTGCAATGTGAGAATAGGAACCGGAAAAGGGATGTCATTTAGAGGTCGGAAATCGATGTTAGATGCCATTTTGGAATCCAAGATGGCGACCATCGGTTCAAGAAAAACTGTCATATACCCTACCATATGGGTATTTCCGGATAGGGAACGACGTGTAGAGGCTGGAAATCGATGTCAGACGCCATTTTGGAATCCAAGATGGTTGCCATCGGTTCAAGAAAAACTGTCAAATACCCTACAACATGGGTAAATATTTTCGGATAGGAGACGACATGTAGAGACCGGAAATCGATGTCAGATGCCATTTTGGAATCTAAGATGGTGGCCATCGGTTCAAGAAAAACTGTCAAATACCCTACAACATGGGTATTTTCGAATAGGAGAGGACGTGTAGAGGCCGAAAATCGATGCCAGACGCCATTATAAAAACCAAGATGGCGGCCATCGGTTTTAAGAAAAATTGTCAAATATCCTACAATGGGTGACATTTAGTTACCCTAACCTAAACGTAAAGGACATCGTTCTCGGGCTGAAGACCCTAAACTCCAAGGACAAATTTCCCTTTCCGGTTCGACAGAGGGCGGCCTTGCCGTCGTCGACCGGCTTCTTCAGAAGTAAGCGCCTGTGCATCGGAACCATCTCCACAAACCACTATACCAGCCTCGGTAAAACTAACCCGCCATCGCACTATAGCCGACTTTCGGTCAGCCTTGCTTCATCCGCCATTGTCGGAATTGTACCAGAATTTCACCGAGCGGTGGTAACGCCATCTTGCCGACAAGATCGGCCTTTCATCGTCCGCCATCGACAGAATCATTCCACAACCGGAGCGAGCGCTCGCTGGACTGCTGTCGTCGTAGTCTCCATCGTCGATCACAACACCGCACAATCCACACTATCGTTAATTGGAACAGTGTTTAAGTTAATCCGCGCTTTGTCTCAGTACATTTGAAAGCTTGAGTGCCTTTTCGTCCGCTTAGCCCCTCCCATTCCAAAAATACACATATTGTGGGGTATATGACAGAATTTCCAAGTTTTTCTGTGACCGGAAGCCACCATTTTGGATTTCAAAATGGCGTCAGACATCAATTTCCGGTCCCTTAACGTCACTCCGATTTCAAAAATACCCATATTGTGGGGTATTTGGCATAATTTCCAAGTTTTCTGTAACCGGAAGTCGCCATCTTGGATTTCAAATAGGGTCAGACATTGATTTCTGGTCCCTGCACATCACCCTGATTCCAAAAATACCCATATTGTGGGGTATTTGGCAGAATTTCCAAGTTTTTCTGTAACCGGAAGTCGCCATCTTGGATTTCAAAATGGGGTCAGACACTGATTTTCGGTCCCTTCACGTCACTCCGATTGCAAAAATACCCATTTTGTGTTGTATATGGTAGAATGTCCAAGTTTTTCTGTAACCGGAAGTCACCATCATGGATTTCAAAATGGGGTCAGACATCGATTTCCGGTCCCTGCACATCACCCTGATTTCAAAAATACCCATATTGTGGGGTATTTGGCAGAATTTCCAAGTTTTTATGTAATCGGAAGTCACCATCTTGGATTTCAAAATGGCGTCAGACATTGATTTCCGTTCCTTATACGTCACTCCGATTCCAAAAATACCCATATTGTGGGCTATTTGACAGAATTTCGAAGTTTTTCTGTAACTGGAAGCCGCCATCTTGGATTTCAAAATGGCGTCATATATCGATTTCCCTTCCCTTTACGTCACTCCGATTCCAAAAATACCCATATTGTGGGGTATTTGACAGAATTTCGAAGTTTTTCTGTAACCGGAAGTCTCCATCTTGGATTTCAAAATGGCGACAGATATCGATTTTTGGTCCCTGCACATCACCCTGATTCCAAAAATACCCATATTGTGGGGTATTTGTCAGAATTTCCAAGTTTTTCTGTAACCGGAAGTCGCCATCTTGGATTTCAAAATGAGGTCAGACATCGATTTTCGGTCTCTTCACGTCACTCCGATTCCAAAAATACCCATTTTGTGTTGAATATGGCAGAATGTCCAAGTTTTTCTGTAACCGGAAGTCGCCATCTTGGATTTCAAAATGGGGTCAGACACTGATTTTCGGTCCCTTCACGTCACTCCGATTGCAAAAATACCCATTTTGTGTTGTATATGGTAGAATGTCCAAGTTTTTCTGTAACCGGAAGTCACCATCATGGATTTCAAAATGGGGTCAGACATCGATTTCCGGTCCCTGCACATCACCCTGATTTCAAAAATACCCATATTGTGGGGTATTTGGCAGAATTTCCAAGTTTTTATGTAATCGGAAGTCGCCATCTTGGATTTCAAAATGGCGTCAGACATTGATTTCCGTTCCTTATACGTCACTCCGATTCCAAAAATACCCATTTTGTGGGCTATTTGACAGAATTTCGAAGTTTTTCTGTAACTGGAAGCCGCCATCTTGGATTTCAAAATGGCGTCATATATCGATTTCCCTTCCCTTTACGTCACTCCGATTCCAAAAATACCCATATTGTGGGGTATTTGACAGAATTTCGAAGTTTTTCTGTAACCGGAAGTCTCCATCTTGGATTTCAAAATGGCGACAGATATCGATTTTTGGTCCCTGCACATCACCCTGATTCCAAAAATACCCATATTGTGGGGTATTTGTCAGAATTTCCAAGTTTTTCTGTAACCGGAAGTCGCCATCTTGGATTTCAAAATGAGGTCAGACATCGATTTTCGGTCTCTTCACGTCACTCCGATTCCAAAAATACCCATTTTGTGTTGAATATGGCAGAATGTCCAAGTTTTTCTGCAACCGGAAGCCGCCATCTTGGATTTCAAGATGACGTCAAACATAGATTTCTAGTTCCTACACGTCACTCTGATTCCAAAAATACCCATATTGTGGGGTATTGAAAGTATCTTCCAGTTTTTCATGAACCGGAT